TCGTTTCCTTTTGTTTTTTTGGCTCAGCTCTGCATCCTTTTCCTCTTTTGGTGCTGCATGTCATTTATCTTCCATTCCTCCTTTTCACATCTCCAACAATTTTTGTTCTTCTTTTTTTTCACAGCTAAATTTTTATACCCCTCACCCCAGAAGCTGGTTGAGCGTCATCATCTCTCTCCTGTGCAGCGCAGCCCAACTTTCTGTCTCCTGTCTCTGTTTCTTTACTACTGCACACTGGGCCGGCGCTGCTGCCCTCCATTTGTTTGTCTCTCATACAGACCTGAGCCGTATTGCTTTCTGTAAAATAAACATTCTTTCATCTATGCCAGCTCTTCCCCCTTTCTCCTGTGATGTTTCTTCATTTCCATTTGTCCTCTCTTTTTTTAAAATATTTATTTTTTTGTCCTCCACATGTTTTTTGAGTAGCTTATAAATAAACTGTGAGACTCCTCTCATTCACTGCTCCTTTTTCTGTTTTAGAGGGCCAATATTTGGTATTATGGCAGTATTAGTGTTTTAATTAATTAAATTTAATTGTAACCAACAGCTCCCCTCTCAGTTTTCCTTTAGAATTAGAAGAATACGTTAAAATGACTGGCAGCAATGACAGGTTACCTGCTTTGATAGACAGTTAATTCAGCTATTTGTGCTGCTGTTTTGGAGAAAAAGATTTACATTACCAAACCCTAATAAATTGAGCACTCTTTGGTGACCAAAAAGATCAACTGTATCACCTGGGATTTTACATTTAAAGATCTTTTAGTTTCCACATCCTCCTTTTTAAGGAAAGGAATTCTATCATGAATCAGATTATTTTGCTTTGGTGTAATAGTTTCCAGTTCAATCAGCCTAGCCTCAGTCCCTGCACCAAAGGTCACAAAAAGAATGAGTAAGTGATTTTGCCATGGGTAACCAGGACAGTATTTTAGATGTTTTGGAAATTATTATTGCTTATCATTGCTTTAATTTGAAATGTGCATGAGGTCATCAAGTCCAACAGCTTGAATACAAACATATTTTTTTTTTTTTTTGTGGTTATCTTCAAAGCAGCACTAACTCTTTGTCTTTTGCACTAACCTGCCTTTTGTCTCTTTCCCTTTTCTCTTACCTGCTTTCTGACTGTCAAGACCATCTATACAAGCAGCTTGAGAAAAACCGTCTTCTGACTAATGAACTGAGAGTAGCCTTAAACGAGGCTTAAACTGGAATGGGCTCTCGTATTCTTTCATTCTTCTAAAAACTCAAAATGTTCAGGCATATTGTCTAATGCTGTGATATAAGAGTAGAGACAACTGTGTGTATGCCACAGAACCTAACAAACCAAGTAATGCTTTTAACAAAGTGGAATACTAATTTAAGATTTTCACATTATGCATGCTCAAACTGCAGTTCCTGATGGGAGGTCAGACAACTTAATGAAAAGTTACTGATTGGATTTGATTTAGTTTCTGTTATTGACAAGGCTGTGGCACACCATTTAAAATCTGCATGCTGTTACTCACGGCATAAAGGCTGGCAATGATGCAAGTGGTCCGCAGCTAGGGAAAGCTCCTAAAATGCTGCAAGGGGTTCACAATTCCTTCTACATCTACAATTCCCCTCTGTAATGTTATAATGGCTAAACAAAAAGGACAAGTTTCCAACAAAAATGCTTAGTGAATGCTATCTTTTTGTAAGTATTAATTAAAAATCAGAAGATGTAATGTGGTCAACTGTGCTGAGACCCAAACCACCCATTATTTTGGTTTTAATGCTGATCTGTTGCCATTGGAGTTGAGTTTTCTCTTGGAACTTTATTTTTATCTGTAGCATTTCAGTCAAGACACGTGTCCACAAGCTTGACAGATTGTCCCTAAGCTCACAATCTGAATAAGTATGAACACTGAATGAATGTGCAAACCCTCCTGAATTCAAGTCTAAATAGTAACACAGGAGGGAGTGTACTTGGGTGCAAAGCAGCAAGGATGCAGTGCTGACCACTGGTACATGTAGAGCCAATTCGCACCATTTGTGTGCCAACTAGTTGTTTAGAGATAGGTTGTCATATCTGATTGGAAGGTATAAGGAGCATGTACCTACTAGATGACGGATCTGCCAGAACAACTGCAAGGCTACACCTTGTAAAATATGTCACTTGCAGACATGCAGTATTTTTCAAAAATCAAATGAAAAAACATAACAGATTACAGCTTAAGCTTTAGTGTAAAATTTAAATAACAAGGACAAAAAGCTGTGATAGGATAAAGGATTGGCAAAACAATATCAGGGATAGTTCTAGAAGGAGATAACTGGCCCATAAAGATCAGTAGGAGTAAATCGGTGCTCACGTTTGTGTTTTGTTTTTTGAGGTTAGAGGTTTGTTTTGATGGGCCTGAAACTGAGAGGGTGCTTGGAATTACTGCAGGACAAAAGCATCATTTAAATAAATTGCCAGTCTTGACTACAGCCCTGTCTATAGCTTGCTTATAATATTTACAGTGAATTGGCTCACAGTATTGGAGTTGAGGAATATGTACTTGCTTAATGAATGATAACTTCTGTTATCGAGGAAAAAGGAGAGTTTTCTCCCATTCATAAGGTTTGTAATAACATCCAGCACATGTCTAACACTGTTATTTTGGACTAGAGCTTTGTCTGTTTATAGTCTGTGCATCTCTGCGCTGTTTTAAAAAAAAAAAGAAAAGATTTTTAACCAATGAAATGCTATATTAACAGATAAACTCACACGTGCTAAAGAAGAGTGCCTGAGCACAAAGCAGATGCTGGATCAGACTCTAATGGAGATGGTTAACATTTGACCCAGCTCTCTTCCTCTCCCCACATTGCCTCATCTGCTGTGAATATGGCTGGCTCCCATATACGGCTGCTACAGATAATGTCTGGCCTTGTGTTTATATGTGTCCTCTGACCTTGCCATCCTGAAGAAACAAGCTGTACACAAGATGGCACAGCTTCGGTAAGCTCCAGTTACTGTTTCTGTTACACATTGTAATTAATCAAAGGTCAGTTAAAAATCACTGTATCGTTAATAGGTTTACATGTATATGTTGGGAGAATTTGCACTTTTTGGGGAAGAATACTGCACATAATCATCATGAACAAAGCCATAAAGTAAGCCAAGGTTATAAGGGACTTTTTATTATGTGTACTTTTGTAAAGTTGCTTGTGTGTCTTTGTTTTTTTTTCTGTGTTGTGAGCATTTTGTCAGTGAAGTTTTACACATTCTCCTTTAGCAAGGAAGGGATTCTTAGTGGAGTTGCTTGAATGTTGAGCTAAGAGAAAGAAATGTTTGCACACTGTACTCACATTTTGAGGAACCGATTTGTTTGACTTTGTTTTTCTCATTTTATGTAAAGATCATGAATAAATGGTTGGAGAAGTATAATTTATTCCAAGTCTGACTGTATTGCAAATGTTTCATTGGTATTTTTTGATAATGTAGAAAAGAAATAGGGGGACATTTATTTTCATTACAGTGGCTGTCTTCTTGCATGAAATTCTCCAAAAAGTGCACTAAAGGTTTATAGTGGAAATGCCACTATGCCACAAAAAGCAGAACATGATGTAGTACTGCGTTAAACATGCGTTTTAATCTCCCATTTTGTTGCAATTCATCACAGGTGCAGTGAAATGTGACTTTTGGGTGAAACTAAACCTGTAGAAGATCAACCTTTTTGTTTGTAAAGCCCAAAAATGAAACGGTGTGTACTTATGAATCCTAATCACAGATTAGGCCTCAGTGTGAACATGTGTTGCAAGAGTCATTTTTTTTTTAATTATTATTTTTTTTTTCAACTGCTGAAAAGGTGAAGTAACCAGTATTTTATATGAAATCAAACTTCATGGTTAGAAGAATTAAAAATTACAAAATATTTTTAAAAGACAATCATTGTTCTACCAGGAGACCGTTGTACCAGTGTTTCCTCATATTGGATTGGTAGCGTGTAGTACTTGTAGCCGTATATCAATCCCAAAATTAAGACTGCATGAAAGGTCCTTATTCTAGCAGCCACAAACATCTTGCACAAAACCATTTTGGTATCTTTAGTAATATTGTCATTGCATTGTTCTATGCATATAAAATATAAAAATGCAAGCAGAAATAAACATTAGTGTGTAATATTTGTGTTTATTGTATAACTATCAGTCAAAACATTCTTTAAAAACTGCGTTCCCCAAGCTTTACAACGAGCTGCATAGTGTCGTGGGAAACTAAACTGCCTGTCAGCGAAGACCTACTGATAGAAATGTTTCAAAGCTTATTAAGATTACATCGGGGAGGTACAGATGTTCAGTTTTGTTGGGTGCCAGCACATGAGCGAGTAAATGGAAATGAGATTGCAGACAAACTAGCAAAAGAGCCATTACAAAAGGAAATAACAGTTCAAATACCACTAGGAAAAGGAGAATGAAAAGCAGTCATTAAGAAGAAAGGTATCGAAATATGGCAGAAATGGTGGGAGGAAGACAGGAAAGGAAGGAGTTACTATAAAATACAAAAGTCTGTCAGTAATAAAAATGATAGGTAAAGGACCAGGTGAGAGGAAATTATAATGACAAGACTGAGAGTAGATCACACAGGCCTGAATGGCACCTTGCTTTTATTGGGGAGTGTGTGGTAAGTGTGGGGTTAAAGAAAATGTTGAACATGTCATTTTGCACTGCATATTGTTTGAGTTGGAAGGATAGATTTCAAGATAGGGTTCAGGAGGCAGGGCAGGAATGCAATCTGATGGGGGTACTGGGAACAGAAGGAGAAGAAAAGGGGATAAGAAACACCAGGAAGGCATTATTTAAAAGACACTGGGTTGGTGAACAGATTATATGAGAGCACCTTATTGGAGTTTGAAGTTGAGTGATATGATGTTACACACTCCAGTGCAGTAGGTGGCGGTATGCACTTAAAAGTTCTTTGCAATCCGCCATTAACTAAGAAAAGAAGAAGAAACTAAACCGCTACAGCTCCTCCTCGCCGCAGGGGGCGGTGTGTCACCTCCAGCACCTCGGCAGCAGTGGAAGAACGGAGGTGAAAGTTCGTAGCGGGGCAGCTGTGCTGGAAAACCAACTTGAGAGAGTAATATGGGGGAAAATCAAGATTATACCGTTTCTTTACAAGATAGCAAGGCTGCGTATGTACTCAGCAATGTTGCTGAAGTAGTTGAGCGAATCCTGACGTTCGTACCAACCAAGTCGCTTCTCCGTATCGCGAGGTAAGTTAACAGGAAGTAATGGAGGTAATGTTCGTATGCTAAACAGTTAACTCGGCTAACGTTAATGGCTGTCGACTTGAAGCATAGAGAATGGGAGTGAAACTAATTTTCAGAACCACAGGGGACATTTAGAAAGCTAATGCGGCAGCTAGACTGTCGGGTTATAAGTCACTGTACATTGTTTCTAATTGCCTTTAGCTGCTCAGCCGTGTTTCTTGTCAAAAGCACGAACTTAATAGCTAACGTTAATGTTAGCTAACTCTTGCCAAGTTTCGATCAAGAAAGCAAGCAAGCTTTTTTTTGGCATTTCTGCTTTATTTGGTAATGATGGAGAGGGAGGGGAGAGAGGGGATGGATATGAACCCATCCATGATAGGTGGTAGGCGCTCCTCCACGAGCTGAATGTTGTGGGTCTCCTCAGTGTTTGCAGGCTGTGGAGAAACTGTGCCCGGAGAGTGCTGAGGACTCAGCAGGAGCTGACTTGGGTGTCGGCATGTGGACCATCTAATACAGATGCACATGTCCTCTGCAGCAACCTGGCTGACGACGTGGAGGTAAATCATTACACTCAAGATCAAGTGAAAGTAACAGGACAGTAAAAAAACCGCATCAGTTTCGTTTGCCAGAATTGATATGCATAATAGTAAAAAAGTAAAGTAAACACCACCCTGGTGATAGTGATTGATTTGAAAATTTGCTCAACTTGTATGCTCAGCTTGAAATGATTGCTCTAAAATGTGTTCAGGAGATGATTAAAAAAAATCTTTTTATCCACATGTTTTTCATTCATAAGTTAAGATGACTTAAAATCTGTGGTAAGTGGTAGGTTTGTTGGTCCCAAATGTGTCCAGAAAGCAATTGAAACACTATTTTAAGTGTAACCCTTTGCTTCTTATTATTTTCAGAAAGTGTTTCTCCTGCCCAAAACTGTTCTGGCAATGGTAGACTGTGAGGCCTTCAATGCGCAAGGGTATTGCTACAGACAGGGTAAAGGTTTGTATAAAATTTCAGTACACAGTGCTCTTGGACTTTATTATATTGTGTTCATTAGACAGAATGTCCGATAAGTGCTCATCTGTGTCAGGCATAATTGTTTGAGTTGTGTTCGTAGAAAGACATGTCCTATATGAGTTAAGTGGTGTAACACAATCTTTCAGGAAAAGGGACAACTAAACAAAGACATATTTAAGGTAAATGTTTTAAAGTTCACAGTGTTGAGATAGCTGAAGCAGAGGCGTAAACAGGAATCAGCTAGGTCTGTGCTGCCCTTTTGTCAGAATAATATTTATTCTGAATGCTTCTAGCATGTCCATCAAATCCCGATTTAGCTGTATCATAACAGCATCATAATTGTGTATAAGTAGCTGTAGAGTATTTCTAAAATTTGAAATGCATAGAAAACCTTGTATTATGTGTGTCTTAAATACCAGACAAAGACCTGTGTTGAAGTTGTTAGTTTATAGTCAGTTTAAGTCCTGCTGGATTGTTGGTCATCAGTGAGAGTAAATTGCTAACATACTGTGATACATAATCTTAGTTGCTATGGTTAACTGCAGTTTAATATGACCTGCCCATTAATCTAGAAAATAAGAATCTGCCAGATAATTGCTAAAATGCTAAAAAATATAAACCTATAGTCTCACTGTTAAGAAAGAGATGCTTTGCTGCCGTAAATATCTCTGAATCCAAATTATTGCACTAAGGACTTTCTAATTTCCAGCAATATTTGCTTAAAGCTGGGGTAGGCAACATTGGAGAAACTAGCAAGAGACAACTAGATTTTTAGAGTATCTAACTGAAAAAAATCCCACCCCATCCCTTCTGGCCTTCCTTCACGGCCACTCCCCCAAAACACAAGCCCAGTGAGTGTACCCAAATAGGAAGGCAGCTAGGTAGGTAGACAGCCATGTAAGCCAGCCACTCATTTAGTTAAGACTGAATTAAATGATTGACCATTCCGATTACAGTCCTGTGACAGCTACGGATACCTGATTTACTGCCATTTTTGTGTCAGAGCATTAGATTTATGTCAGGATGAGAATCTTTTTTAAATTAACAAAAAATGCTTCTGAAATAAATTGCCTACCCCAGCTTTAATTTATTATTAAGATGATTAACATATAAAACAGTGACCTATCTCATTAATGCTTTTTCTCCCTCAACTTTTCCGAAGCAAAGAAGAGTCGCCACAGTATAGACACAGTTGAAGAACTGAACCTGCTCTTCCCCAAAGGCTGTGACATCATGGGCATTGCTACACCAGGCATAGTCTGTAAGTGGTGCTCTTTTCTGTCTCTCTTATATTTCCCTCATTCATATAGAAGAGAACACCCCCAATGAAACCAGTGGTAGCCACAGGGAATCACTGAATTCATTATTATTTTAAGCGTGTTTCTTAAATGAACTTCAAAGCTTTGTTGGTACAAAATGTGACCATAGTATGTTCATCTGCTAGGATGCTGTAGGAAAAAAAGCTAACCAGGTGTCATGAGTATATCCAAGAGGAATAGTTCACCTTTCAGCAGAGAGGACTACGCATTAATCCCCACTTCTGCTACCTAGTTGGAAAGCACCACCGGTGGCTGGCACCTCCCTGCCTCTCCCTATGATAGATTGCCTAGTCTGCTCGGTGCTGTGCTCCCCATTTCTCCATATAATCACAACCCCGCGGAGAAGTGACTCTCCATCAGCTACGTTCTTTTTCCTCAAGATGATGGCTTATCAGGCTCCCGTCGTCTATCAGGTTTAATGGCAGTCTCAGCTGTTTGTGATAACACTCATTTTGTGATATTGCAGCTGAGGGTCACCACAGGGTCACCAGTCACATCTAATTCAAATGAATGAAATGTTTGATTGGATAAGGTTGGATCTATAGATTACTTGTAATAAGTCTGCCATACAGCCTAGATTACAACAAATGATTTATGCATGTTGGCAGTGGGGCTGCACAATATTAACAAAGATGACTTGTGGTACACCTAAACATAGTATTTCTGTGTAACACTTCATGAATTCTATAAACTCTAACTTGCTCGAGGATGGGAATAAATGAGATGCAAATGTGGAGTATTTGCTCATTTTGAATACATGGAAAGGTTTACTGTAATTTTCAAATGTAGTTGCAAAAAGGTTAATAGTTAAATCTAAAAGGTGTAGGAGTGGTGAATGAGGCTGTCTGTCTTATGAACCTGTAGATGTTTGACTGCACAGCCTGTTTTTTCATTTGCATGGTGGCTCATCCACCTGCTAAACCTTCTTCCTCACCTCATTTACACCTGGTACTAAAATGTGATCTGTATCTGGACACGTTACACGGAAAATAGACAACCCTATCTTGCCTTTGTTTTTACACCTGGTATTTTTCATGTGTTCTTGTTATCCTTATTGAGATCGGGTCTCTATGCTCCAAAGCAAAACCTGCGCGTGAGTAATTTGAGGTGGCGGCAAATGCGCCCCAGACTCCCATTAAAAAATGTTGGTTTAGAGGAAACTTTATAACCTATGTGATTATTTCTTTCTTTGTATCAAAGATATTGTGTCACTTTGTGTTGCAGTACCGAAGTGTAAAGATCTCTGTGACTAGATACGTTATATGTGCTTTGTTAACAGCAGATCAGATAACCAGTGCTTTCTAGGCTACAGATCGTGTTTCACATACCTAAGATCCAAATATGGTCAGACCGATTCGATCGTGTCACATTTACAGCTTGCATTTACATGCATTTTTCCATATCTGGGTAACGTATCTGCATTTTAATGCCAGGTGTAAATGGGGTGTTGATAGGTTGGTTTTCTGTGGTTAGTATACACTGTCCTGAGTTTTTGGAAAAAATACAACAACACAGTTGATTGGTGAAAACATTAGTGCCTTGAGGTGCAGTTTTTCTAATGGTTACTAGATGCTCACTCCAAGAAACTACCTGTACCAAAAACTCCTCTTCTCACTAAAAAGTAGAAAACATTATTTTCTAGTAGAAGTTAGTAAGAATCATTGTTAATTTGGGAGACATATTAAGGCTGTGAGAGGAGTCTATGGGCCTTTTTCACAGCAGACATTTTGACACATTACTAATAACATTAACAATGGACCAGCAGTGAGCCGCCATGCACAATACCAGGACCCTGAAGCTAAAGAGAATTCTGCCATAATTCATTTTATTATTTAGACCGGTACCTACCAACTTTGGCATGTAAAAAATGTCTTCTGTATTGACAGGTGTCACACTCTGCAGCGGTGGTTGCTTGTGGCTTTTCTCCTCTCAGCACTGTTTTTCTCTGCTCTGGCCAAATTAGCATATTCAACTCCAAGATGGCAGCAAACAGTAAACCCAAATCAAGTTTTCCACATCCCTTCTGGAAAATCGGGTGATGCCACAGATGCTATGTTTGCTGTCTATGGTTGCAACTAACACGGCAAGCAACAAACAATAGGGGTTGCATTGGGGTCTGTAAAGTAAAAAAAAAAGTTCCTTAGTTTTTGACAACTCACCGTCCATGACAGATGACTTGTGTGTAAGTTACTGCATGTGCCTCTAACTTTATAGTCTGTGGTGCTTAATACTTGCTCCTCTGTGCAGTGACTCCCAGTGGCTCTTGCTCCAGCCCTCCTCAGGAGTACCAGGAAGGGGAGGCTGGCTTTGCAATCATGTTCCCCACCATAGAAGGTGTCCACATCAAGCCCTTTCATTTTTGCAAGAAGTCAATCTCCACAACAGCCCTGAAAGAAGCAGGTGTGTGTAGGCTCACAGCAATTATTCAGTAATCTAAACTGAGAAATGCAAAACTTTCAGAACTTTGTTTTTGTATTACTCTTTTATTTGTATATTCTTTCCAGGACTAGTTGACAACCCAGAGCTGCGTGTGGTCCTGATCTTTTTCTATGAGGCATATAAATCTGGAGGAGGACGCTTTCTCAGCCAGATACTGGAGCCGCTGGCCAAGAGCAAAGCTCTCATTGCTGGAGGGCTGGTAGAAAGTTTCTTCTCTCCTACCAGACACTGGTGAGTTAATGTCCTTCACTTAAATCAAGGTTTTTTTCTTAGAAACCTTCAGAATAATAATGCAAAAATAACAATTGCAAGTGATTTCCTGCAAATTCAAATACTTTGAGGCTTCCTCAAACAGTTTTTGTTAATCTCACTTCATTTTGAAGTTTAACATCTTTATTTCTTTTATGCCATTTATTGACCTGCCAATAGGTTTGGATCGAATTTATAGATCACCACTGGAAGTTATTGGTCATTCAAATGGGTTTTACAATGGCCGATGCTGATATTTAGAGAGCAGGGCGGCCAATGGTCGATGTATAATACCAATATGAAAATAATGAAATGTCATGTATAATTCCATTATTCCATAAAGAGTACAATCTAATACACTACATGGTTATCTTAGCCAGTAACATGTTGTTTTAGTAGTAGTTTAGTTCATATTGTTTAATTTTTATTAATTATTGAAATAGAAAAACACAGGACACTGTAGATTTCAGAATGTGATTGGTGTTATAGGGAGAGAGGGGTACAGTTTGTCAGAAGGTACGTCATTCAACTGCATTATTCTCTACAGTATAACAATATATATTTTTAATGCTAGCCAGTAATGGTTTTAGATCAGATCTGCTGTCAGTTAGGATGATATGGTAGCCTCGTGAGTGCAGGTATCGGCCAATTATCTCAAAATGCCAGATAACAGCCCCATTTATCACTACTGGAAGTTATGATTTTAATACAGTGGCATTCTTTCTGCACACTGTTATTCACACTCTCCCTCTCCAATCATTTGTCACTTTGCAGCTGTAGCCAGGGTGCATACGGTGTGGTGGGCCTGGCCCTGAGTGGCCCTAAGGTGCAGGGGGCGTCTGTGCTCTTGGACCAAGACGTCAGCAACTCAAAGGCGGCTGAAGCCACGATCGGGCGGCTAAAGGCGGCCAAAATTCCAGAGAGGAATACCCTAGGGTTCATGTTCGCCTGCGTGGGGAGAGGCCAGAACTACTACAACAACCAGACCAACGTAGAAGCTGACGCCTTCCACAAGGTGTTCCCCAACACCCCGCTTTTCGGCCTTTTCGGCAACGGCGAGATTGGCTGCGACCGAATCATTAAAGATGACTACACGCTGTGCGACACTGACACGGACAGTCTGCAGCATGAGTACACTACAGTCATGACCCTGGTCCATCTAGGCTGACTGACCTGCTGTCACAATGGACAAACGGGGCAAAAAAGACCCACCGCATTCCTGTTTGCAACAGTGGTCGGAAACCTGAAACATTACAAAATATTGCTTTCACCATTCTGCTCATAAAGCAAGTCTCCCTTTAGCCATCAGTGTAATGGCATCATTTGGGAAACTGTCCCTCGGAGACTGTGTGTAAACACGGCTTCATATTAAAACTGGTGTTTCATAAAGTTCAGACATAAAAAGTCAAACTGTTCATCTCGTGTTACATTCAATTGTGATAAAAATACAATGTGTTTATATTTTCCCCCAATTTAACACACATTCAGGGCATATCTTACCCACTGACATCGGCCTCATGGTCTGTTTGCTTTGCAGGTGAGTAAATTATATACACTTGTGTGTCCCACAAGCTATTGTTATAGTTGTTGATTCACCGCAGGCACTTTTATTCATGTGAGCGTGGTCCCTCTTCCACAAAATCAAGGTGATCTTGATTGGAATGCTCTTTCTTGTTATGTAGGCTTTATGATATTTATGCTTCTGTCTTACCGATGGAAAAACAAATAAACCGTGATAGCCTACAAATTAATAATATTAATTTTGCAAGGTATCTATCTACCATGGTTTAATTGGACACAGGGAAGTCGGTCAGAATCGTACTGTGCCTGTTTTTGTGTCCACATGTCAGGTTATATCTACTACCTATGGTTAATGGTTACTTCATCTCCAGAGCTCCAGACAGAATAGAGAACAGGGTAGAGCAGCTTCCCTGTTAGCTGTGGAAGTGACACTGACCAGTAGAAACTCTGTTTAACCTCATTTTACTCTTGGCTCTACTACAGTTTCGAACTGTAGTTGTTGGTGGTTGGAAATTGAAGAAATGTCAAATGTCAGAAGAAATGTGATGTATTCGGTGTAGATGATGATGTATTTGGTATCCTTTGCTAAAGTAATCGCAAAGGGTCTTCCATAGTGTAGTCTGAGATTAACTACATAGTTGCACGCTTGAAACAGCCAAATATTTTACTGATGCCTTCATACAATAGAATAGTGGTCTCTGTAAAATCCATTACTTATCCATTATTGTCTTGATGGCCCTGTCATTGATTAACGTTGCGCTTTTTCTTCACTAAAATATCCTGATGTCATGAAGGTGCAATTTTCAGTGTAGATAGAGGTGTGTGTGTGTGTGTGTGTGTGTGTGTGTGTGTGTGTGTGGGGGGGGGGGGGGGGGGGGGGGGGGGGGGGGGGGGCATGTGAAGTTCAGGTTTTCCATACACCCTGTTACAATGGTGTTTTCAAGAAATATTTTACTTTTAAAAAATGATTAGAAGTCTCAGTTGTATCACAATACACCCATCTGCCCTTATGGTGTCTGAAGGGGAAATTAAAATGTATTTTAAGTTAGTGTTTATGGCTCATTGAACTCGGTTGTTTAGATGATGATATTCTGTACATGTGCCAAATCATGTTCTGCTCTTTTCCCTCAATAAATTACGAACATTCAGTAGAAATGTGCTCGTTTCTTCAGTTTATTTCTTTAACCGCACTGTTAAAACCACTATATAGGCTACACCTTTAGACCCAGTCCCTGAGCCCACTGGGTGTCTCACATCGGTTCTAACCACAGGCCTACTACAGTTAATTTAGATCACCACTTCTCGTTATTTGCGCGCACCCTGAAATATGTGCCTCAGCCTATAACGTCTTCAGCAGCCCACGTCCAGGCGTGTTGAAATAAAGGAAGAGACGCTTGAGATTGATTGATGTGCGCTTTAACCATCGACTGGCTAATCCCGATGAATGACAAACGGTTAAGCCAATTGCTGTAAAGGCAATTTATATTCCCAATGTATCTTTATTTTGGGAAACCATAAAAAACCCGCTCTTGACACTGGGAGGGACGACCTACCAGGCGTGAAGCTAATAAAATCATCTGTGGCGATAATCCGCTCTCAAATTGGCCTCAATCGGGAAGTGGGAAAATCTGCTCACAGCCTTTCTCTCTCCCTCTCTGTCTCTCTCTCTCACTCACACACACACTCTCACACACACACACACACACACATATTCACACGCGCGCGGCCAACATTTTTAGACTGCTATGTCGTGACCGAGCGATGCAAATGTCACACGATTCATAGGCTACTGTCAGTCTCCGGCACGAAAACGTCAGTGTTTTGATGGCGTTTGGCTGAAATTCGCACTGTGCTGCTGCTGCTGCTGCTGCTGCTGCTGCGGAAGCGGGTCGGTCGTTAGCCGAGGCTTCGTCGGGCTCGCTTCAGCACCTGGACAGCTCCTTTCGCAGGATTCCCCGCTGCGCTCGCCGGGGAAACCCTCGGCTGAGAAGCGGGATCTGGATCTGGAGCGGCAACACGCACAAAACCCTCAACGATCCCAGATAGGGGGAGGTGTAGGGGGGGGGGGGGGGGGGGATCACACTTAAAGGGTCTTTATTTGATCAGTCTTAATAACACTTAAAAGCTAATATGATCTTGCCGCGTGACGATGCTTCTTGCATTTGAGCTTCAGCCCCTCTTTGGTTTTGCACTGAAATCCGAGCAGCGGAAGCAGCAGCAGCAGCAGCAGCAGTGGTGCTCATCGAATGCAAAAGTGCTAAGGATAGCTGCAGCCTACACACACTGCGAGCTTGCTGCTGCTTCACTTACTCTCATCACCACCGAGGGAGACATTACTATCAGCAAGGGGGCAACGGGAGGCACGATTACCCGTCAACAATGTAAATCTCTCACAGGTAAGTCCTTTACTCCAAATAAATAGGCCTAATTTATTTGAGTTTCTCCTCTTTTGAATCTGATAACAAAAAGTAAATCAGTTTTTTTTTAATCACAGGTGCAGTTATTACTCTGATGGTAGGAATAAAAAAGTCTGACCCGACTCAGTTTGTGGAGTGTTTAATGAGCAGAGCAGATGCTTTCAAGGCATGTGACTGAAAGTTCACATTTACAAAAGTTAGTTTATGTTAGAGTTACAGCAGTCTTTTGGTGACTTTTAGGAGTATAGGCTATCTAGTCCATTGGTGATGGTGTCTTACATTTTCATTGAATTCAACAACATTTGTGATGTATATAAAGCGACAAAATTGGGGCTTCTGTTAGTTTGACATTCACCACTGTCACTAACCCCATACTCAAGGACAAGCCCTGGAACAGGTTCCTCATGGCTCATCAAGCGTGTGATGAAAGGAATGAGTTCCACCAATCTTAAAATATTTTTCGCCAGATTAAAGAAATCCTATCATAGGATGCAGTTGAGAAGGTGCTTCACTTGGCTAACCGATTTTCTTAGAACTGTTTTATCAAACATCAACTGTTATGTCAGCTGTGATGTTACTAACTGTCGTGGTATTTAGAAAGTCACCGTTTTAAGTCATACTGAAGGGATGCAGATATCTGGCCTAAAACACACTTTGTGGCTCTCCAAAGATTATTATGAGCCATGTATGAAACATTAGTAATTTGTACTGTTCGTACTCCCAGGTTTGACATGAAAGCAACATCTATCAGGTGAAAAGGTGAAATGCAGCACTAAAAGAGCCAGTAGACCTACTGAGTGGAAACCTTGTGACAGCCACCACCACATTTCTCCTCTCACCCAGCATCATGGCGAATGCTAAGTAAGTACAGTCCATCAGGGATCTTCTTTCTTCTCTTCCTCACTCTCTCCTGTCTCAACCAGTGTATAAAAACTGCATTCCTTTTTGTTTTCTTGCGTATGGGGGGGATTTTTCTTAACTCAACCTCTTCTCTCCACTCAGTTTCCTCTCTTTCACGGTTTCCCGTGTTTCTGAGCCTTCATTTCTACAATAATGACCTTTATTCACTCAGACACTGCTACCGTTGAGGTGTCTCTGACCCTGCATGCTAAACACAGCTGCACAATGCTGACCATAGAACGTCCATTCTGCAGCCGTAAACACAGGTCACTATGTTAATTATCTCTGTGGTACATCACACAGTATATTGATTTTTATTATCCACGACCATTACAAATGAACACCTTTTTTTCCAACAAACCCCCTCCACCTCCAGTTTTCTCCCAGCTTTCCATTTTTAATCTGTGCATAGTGAGAACAGCTGATACATTACTGAGGTACCATGCTGTAGCCTGTGTGTGTGAAGACAAAGTAAGAGGTACAGGAGAACAGTGAATATCACTGTTCTCTGTGAACTTCTGATTCTGCTGGCGTAGCATGACTCTCTAATTTGTCTCATCTTAACTAGCTGCATTTATTCTCTTGACCTACATGAATAGCCCTAAATCATTGCTCCATTTGTGCTTTTATAAGAGAACCAGTTCTGCTCGTGGTCCCATACAGAGCACAGCTCAGCGGGTCCCAGTAGCAATGTCATACCATGCTGTGGTTAAGGTGAAACGCATCCTAGAACAGATGACTAGAGCTCACAGTTGCTCTCGACCAGAAAAAAAGCTTTTACTCTTGAAGACTGTCGATCACGTCATTAAGATACAGTGTAAATAATAACTAAATAAAACTATCTCAAAGGACAAACACACATTGTTCTTAATTCTATTCAAATTCTTTCGCCACCTTAGTGTTAAAGTAGCACTGGCTTTATTAACATCATTTATACTAAGTGATTGTTATGAAAACAACAAACATTTTATACAAAGTAGTGTTTGATTCTATATAATGAGTCTTGACCTCAGCTTTATAAAGATTGATATTTAAAATAAACAAATGTAAAAATACAAATGTAAAAATTAAAGTAGATAATAAATAGGTATCAGTCTCTTATTTTTAATGGTTGGAGAAATACTTCTCTATCTATTTAACTTATTTAAGTAAATGTACTTATATAACAATATAAAAATACTTATCTAAAAGTATCAAAAGTAAAAGTATTCATTCCATAGAACAATGGCCCTTGTGACCCCTACTGATTATGACTATTATGATTATATTATAATTCTTATTTTTTTATGATATTGTCAGACTGTTAATACCTGTGCTATACTGAACTATTTTATATTCTTGGGATGTTTACTCCAGTGTTTCCCAACCAAGGCGTCTGGGACCCCTCCAAAGTGTCCCAAAATAAAACATGAAGGAAATATGAAGGAAAGAGGGACCCTATTTTATAAACATATCATGTTGTGTCATCTAAAATCAAAAATTAGTAACTTTTCAGTATAAGTGTCAGGTAAATTTGCTTTTTGTACAGGTTTGACTGACATTATTTATCCATTTCTTTATTGATGCTTATGCCGGCT